CAACTGCAGACCTCCACTGTCAGGCCGGTCAGTTTTTTACGTACCCACAGGACGAAAAGGTGATGCATTCTTGGTTGTTTCGCTACTCTACACATCGCAACAGCGGTAGGTGACTGGTTAGCATTATCCAAAACATTGAGTAAAGTCTTAATGCATTGCTCTTGGTATATGTTCGCCGTCAATAACTACCGCTGTCAATATTGTACATCTAAATCACACAAATTACAGAATGTTACACATGTGTAAGTTAGGTAGAACGACAAATAACCTAGGTAATGTTCAGCTACGCCAACGGTGGCTAGCATTAGCTCCTGAAGTAGCAGGATTAGCTTTTTCCCTTTGGATAACGTAAGCTACTCATAGACTGTATGTAGCTACAGTGTGTTCGTTTTTTGTAAAGCATTTTGCAAGGGCATAGGTTTGCATTTGTCTTAACATTTTGACGATGCTCAGGTTAGTTATTTGTCCAAAAAAAGATAAAATAAAAATCTTTATCGTTTAGACTGTTCGGTGTAGCTTTTCACACTTAACGTTAAACAGTGTGCAAAGACTTTGCTGGCTGTATGAATTGATCTTAGTTGAATCTAAGTTTATGTAATACGAGAGTTTCCCAACCCTCCCCTGGAGAAAGTTACCCCCTGTCCTGCATGATTTACTCTCTCCCTGCTTCAACACAGCTGATAGAAGCAGCTTCGGGATTCATAACGAGTTGATAGTTTGAATCAGCTATTTTGGAGCAGTGAGATATTTAACACACACGGTTATTTAAACAGTTATCCACATAAAGATACTACTCCTCACCACAGCCACTATTGTCATATCCCAATTTGCATGATTTAGATGTACAAATATTGACAGTGGTAGATATTTTGATATAACATGCCAAGACCAATGCATTCAGAATTTTTGAAAATGTTTAGGATAATGCAAATCTGTCACTGCTGCCAACTCCTTTTCTAACTGTGTAATCTGTGTGTGTACAGTGAATAAAGTAAAAGTATTATTACAGTAGGCTACTGTCTCCATTAATTTTTAAAAAAGTGGATATGGGTTCTAGGTACGGTCTGAGCTCTTAATCATGCATCTGTGGGGGTCAGTAATTCATTAACCAACAACCATTATTTTTAATGACAAATGTACAATATATTAATAAGATAAACACAAACTAAACGAACTATGCTGCGCACCGCATGAATGTCATTACGACATGGTTAATAATTAATATGATACCATAAAGGGCAGATTTGCGGTCTCTCCTTGAGCAGTAGTCTTTGTTGGTTTGTTTCAGGCTTTTAAAACTTGAACTTTGTTGCAGTATCACACACATCTGGGGCAAGTAGTGAGCTGCTGTGTGTGAGAGAAGGTGTTGACCAGCAATGAAGTCTCTGTCCAGGCTTCTATAATTTATTTATTAAACCCCGCCGGTAACGTCCGTTATACTATAGACTCCCACGAAGCTCAAATTGTAGTCCAGATTCCACAGTTGTCCGTTTTTCTTATTAAATTCAGCTGATAGCAGTAAAATGCCATAGTATATTACTCTTAAAAGGTAAATTATGAATGAGAAGTGTGTGTGTGTGTGTGTGTGTGTGTGTGTGTTTCTTTTAAGATGACTGGGCTAAGTTACACTCTTAATCAACGACGATGTTTTTCTGTGAATGGATGTGGCTAGCTGTATGGACGGATTTAACGTCATGTTTTGACAGAATAAATAAATAGTGCCTGTAAAAAAGATACTGATACTAGAAGCGATATACAGTGGGCTTTGTTGCTACATTGGCACAGTAAGTGCTAGTAGAATAGGCTCAATCAATAGGTTATATTTAAGGAATTAGCCTGCTAGTTTCCCGTTACAATGTTGACTAAATAATTAAATATAAATCAATGACAAAAACCCCCCCCCCATGTCGACGTGATTAAACGTTATAATTTTTGAATGCGTTTCCTGTCAAATCGCACGCTTTTATTTTGTAGTTTTTGCGTGTATTTCCTGTCCTGACCGCCGTGACAGTGGAGGTGGCCTGACAGTGGAGGTCTGCAGTTGGACCCTGCGGTGTAGCCTGGCCAGAGTGGCTAGGAAGGTGGTAGGTAGGCAGACTCAAACATCATATGTTTGCAGAGGTGATTATTTTATTGACAATGGTCTGCAGTACACGGATAATTCAATTAAAAAGACTTAAGAAAAATAACGCATCAAACTTGTAGCAACACTAACAAGAGGCACGTGTTCACAGCAGCACCGCCTCACCTCTTTGTTTCCCCCTGTTTATATAGGGTGGTCAATTCACACCCAACTGCTTCAGCCCATCCCATTCTGATGCAGGTTGATCTACTCCACAACATCAATACCTAGAAATCTCTTTATATTTGGAACTTCGTTATCAGTTCACTCCGCTCCCACTAGAAAACAGGTCAGGGTTATTCACACATTTATTCATAATAATCAAAAACAACCAAAAGAAACATTCCTATAAAGAAAGAAAACCCTCTACTTGGTTTGGCCCGGTGATGTCATCCATGACCACCCTATTCCTATAAAACAGGAAATACTTAGGCCGGCACCTCCCCAAACAATTATCCTGCATGGTGGAACTGGACAAAGGAACAAACAATTGTAAGTATTAACACAGGAAAACAATTAAACCATGTTTAAACTTGCAACCTAATAAAGTTGAGCTGAAACTAACTTATGACTATGTGTTTACTCTAACTTACCATATGCTTTGCTGTCGACTGTAACATAATACAAACTCAAACAACCCGGGATAGTAAGTGGTGCACTTTTACATAAGCTATGGTAAATTACCAAAAAACATAAACATATATGTATAAACTAGAAGGTAATGGTCTGTATGGGACAAGTGGTGAGCAAACCCACTTTGTCACAGACCCTCTTGAATATTTGTGAACTAAGAACTCTTAAGGGGTGAAATCAAAAATACAAACAAAGTTCTTACAATAAGTTAGACCTTGGCTATGCCAATTGCTTCGGTGATTATTCATCCTGTTCGGTTTTTGCATCTTAAGGTTGTTTGAAATATAGTGTTATATATTATTTGCTTGAAAGCAGCAGGGATAAGGAGTTGGGCTCCGGTTTGCAACATTCACTGAGCAGGAACCTGCAGCAGGCCTTCCAGCTCCGCTGTTTCATTAGTGCTCGCCATAGCGCGAGCACCACTGTCCTCGGCCTCAACCGCCACTTGTCCGTGTCTCTGGCTTTCTGAATTTCAGACACTTCCCATTCCCAGGTGACGAGCTACCGTTAGCTTGTTAGTAGTACGTCAGAGACGTTTTATTTTCGTTCCTAACTGACTGATACGCGCCAGAGCTTGGATGCCAGAGCTTGTGCACCGCGAACACTCCACAGTCCAGAGCATAAAGCTAAATACTGACGTAAACAGTAACGTTACCTGTACTGCGGTATAACATCAGAGTCACACCAAACAGAGTCAATTATAAAAGTCACAAACATAAAATTATTTATGACGTTACGGCATTTATTTAATCCTACGAAAGGACAAGAACAAATTTAAGACCTTGGTAAACAAAAATTAACACTTTGGTAATGGAATTTAATACTTTTAATACTTTTAAGACCCCACGGGTACCCTGTTTTAATAGGGAAGAGAAGAAATTAAAACAAAGGCAGAAGGGAGAAAAAAACACTCTCACAGGTCATTTCTGACAGTCACGCCCAGTGAAGGGGCGTTCAGCCTACCTTCTCACTCAGAATGACTCAGAGTGAGGGTCTTGCTTGAGGACATACAGAACAACTGCTGCTGTATGGGATAATCTCTGTAACTACTATGATACCACACCAGCCCAAGGGAATAAAAACATTGGTGTGAAAGACAAAGAGAAAGAGGGACAAAGAGACGGATGGCAGAAAGAGCCTGTCTCGTAAGCCGAGCTGTTCTCTTTCACGACCCTCTGACTGTGTGTGGTGCTACGTTGTCGATTTGTCAACCCGGATTAGCAGTGCAGAGTGGAGCACTCTTCTTTATCAGACTGAGACAAGTGTAGTGGAGATGCTCCCTCGAGCACGGGGCTGGGTGGAGGGAAGACTGCTGAAGCCTGGACTGCTGGTTCTTAAATTACAAGTGGCCACATGGGTAAGTAGGAAGGCTGAAAATGAGAAAGAGGGAGAAGGGAGGGAACTGTACTTCTGCAAACTGGCACCTCATAAATCTAACATGCAGCCAAGTAGAGAGAAAGCAGGAAAAAAGGGGGCACATGCGCATATATGTGAACACTCACACACAAGGGAAGAGAGGGGGAACTGAACAGGAAAATGAAGTGGAATGTTTAGAGAAGAGACAAGGGGGGAGGTCCTTCTAGAGGACATTGTAGTTGTGCTTCCGTCCACAACCAACCCATGCCCTGTCAATTTCATGCTCAACAGCCCACAGGCAAAGTGGCCGTTTGTGTCAATGGAAGCATGTGAGGGAGCAGTTAGTGTCAGTGACTAGCGGTGTGCAGCAGACAACCAGACGTAGCTTTTTATATTTCGATATGATCCGTTACCACATCCCTTCAGACAGCCCAACAGCCAGAGCAGGAAGGCTGCAAAGCTGCTGCTGAATCACACATCGGCTCAAACCTCTTCAAATGGATTGTCTGCATTTGCCCGCAGTGTTTGATGACAATATTTATAAGTGAAGGTGAAGCTTATAGTTTACAGCAATTTAGAGAAAATAAAACTGGTATTTAGCTGCACAGTGCTCACATTGCCTTAATCAGGCCCACATAAATATTAGTAACAGCAACAAAAACAACAACAACAAAAATATACACAGCCAAGAACAGGGCTTTCGTCCATTAAAAACATCCTTACTAGTGACTTCAGGCAGGTCTCCCTCTTCTCCTTTCCCAGATCATTCCTCCAGTGTCTATGTTCTAAATGTGGAATTTAGCTCTGTTATCTCTGTTACACTGACTTCATGTTGTTAAAGGACTAAATATGTACCCTGTAAGTTTAAGTTATCTGTAAGTCATCTTACCTGGGTAGCCATCTTGCCGTAGTCCACCCAGCGCAGGGTGGCAAAGTTTGTGGACTCTGCGCAGTTGAAGCCATGGTTGAAGCCAGCGTGGTAGCCATAAGGAAAGGTGATCATAAACTCCCCTTCATTCTGAGTTATCTGTTCATAGAGAACAAAAAACAAAACAGAAAAAGGTTTACAAAGTTTTTAACGTTATTCCTGAAAATAAAAAAAGCTTAAATTGCTGTCGTGAATTTTCTTTCAAGGTTTCCTCAATTCAAAATAACTTACTGGAGCTGAACTGCAGTCAGAAAAGAACTGAGCTTATTGCCGAATCTATTCCTGTTTTATACAAAATGTGATTACCGGCAAACAACATCCTGCTAAACCCCACCCCTCTGGTCTCATCTATTAATCTCTTGTGCTTTTTGGCCCTCAGATGTTCTTGTACAGTCTCTCTCCCATGTAAAAACCCACAGAAAACATAAGTCATCACACACACACACACACACGACATCATACTTTATTGTTTACATACTTTATTATTATTAATATTATACATAGAAAGCATATATGACTTAATGATATGATTAAGTTTGTTATAAATACTTTTGGACACAGTTTGATGACACACTCTCTCGTCCCTACACAACAACATTAAAAACATTCTCTGATGAAAGACTTGTTTTTTGTATCGTTTTGTTTCGGCCATGTACTGGTCAGGGTGTTCAGCACGTCTTTTCCAGGGAACTGTTGAGTGCATCTCATCTTCTCACAGAAACCATCCGTCTATATCGACTGTTTTCATATTAATTAGTTCTTTTCTCTGTCTTCACTTTAAGCCAGTGTTCTTCACTTATTCATATTTTTGCAATAACAAACTTCTCTTTCCTCACTGAACTTCCAAGTATATCCAGCGTCCAAAACCCTGAATGGCTTCCTTGGTATGCGCTAACTTCACATGATTTAATATGCACAATATGTACATGCTTATGTACAATATGCTACATATTTTAAACTATCATATAGCAACACATCTCAAGCTGACCAGTCCTCATTTTAACACATTGCTATTATTATTAACCTAGTGCCAACTGAATCGCCATCAAAGTCATATGAAGATTTAAAAAATCCCCAGCTGCATATCCACTGCAGAGTGAAGTCCAATGAAGACAGCAAAGCATCTCATAAACAAGCTGGTTAAATAAAAAATAATTAGGTCTCTCATCAAGGACATTATTGAACTCCAACAGATTGGGAGACACTTCTTTCTCAAGCCATTGTTCAGTCATTAAGAAATACGGTAATTTCTTGACATTTCTTTGACTTCCTTTATTGGAGATTTTAGATCATATGAAAAAACCTTTATGACAGAAAAAGATAATAAAAATAAATGTAGCATTTCTTTTAACTGTGGTGACTATTCTTTATAACCCTGTGTGGTCATTTTGCATATCCTCCAAAAGTAATTTAGACTTCTCACTTTTATTCAGTCTGATCCAATTCTAAAATATATTCTATTACTACTCATGAGTCTCACATCCACAACAATTGTCATTGAGTAGGAGTTCAACTCCTCAGAAACAACTTTCCTCAAAACTTTTTTGACTTGCGAGCAAAATTAATTCCGCCTAACATGACTGCTGCGCCGAGTGTTGAGTGTCTTCCCATGAGCTCAGTGTTATTCTGAGAATGTTAAGAAATGTGAGGACAAGTTAAGCACATTCTTTTTTAATGTGTTGCCCCAAAACTTAAGCCCTGTACGTCTGGCTGTGGATCTCAACTTCTTTGTGAAGCCTGGATCCAGGCAATCAAGAGACACATCAAGCCAGACAAGGTGACAGGCATGAGGGGAGAAACAGGGGTAGAGGCTGAGAGTGGGAGATAAACTTCTCAACTAAAGGCAGTGGTTCAGAAATCAAACGTCCCTTTTTGCACTTGCAAGAACGCAAGAAGATGGTTTTATTTTTACACATGAATCGAGAGAGGTACTGTAGGTGTGTAACAAATAACATGTTCACTGTGATAATGACGTCCTGAGGGGGGGAGTGAAATCGGGTGGGGGGGAACCATCTGCTGACAGTGGAGAACTTTGTATGCCTGCTCTGTGCCAGATTTCTTTTTTCTTCCATTAATTTTTGAACTGTGAAGATTTACACTGCCTACTGAACAGAACAGAACAAAAATAGAAAGCCAATTAATTTCCTATGACAGGCACAATAGAGCATCATCACTCATACTGTATCATTACTACAACCTGTAGCGGTGATGTTTGTGTTGTCACCTGTCATTCAAAATAAGCCAACCTCTTCTGCCATTTACGCAAGACCCGCAAATGTTATCAGCAAGCCCGTCAACAAACACTATTTTCTCATAGTGACCAATAAAATGTCCTTTAATGTCATGCAACATGGAACCGTTGTCACTCACCCTGTCAAAGGGAATGCCATATTTCTTCAGGATGGATGGAGATATCAGCGTCATCTTGTGGCGAAGGAAAGCGTCACAGCCTTGGGAGCTGCCCGGGAAGAAGCCTGCAGGGGGGCATTTAAGATATTTCACTGACATTCCAGAGAAACTCCAAATTGCCTGATTAAACCATGAAAAACTATAGAGATACAACACCATAGGCTCTACGACAACATATGTACGGTGTACATATAGCATTTCACTGTGCATGTGGTTTTCATTTGTGTTGGAATATTTTGTTAATAATTGTATTGTTCTTAATGGTTCTAATGTAAGATATTAGAAAACTTGATGCAGAGGTTTTTTTGGCAGTTTTGCAAGAGCTTTTAGTCGGCAGGTGAGTATTTTAAGAATCCCTGCTAAGCATCGGCAATTAAATTGATTTCTCCAGCCCAAATGTAGCTGTGTGTACTATACTGTTATTCCCACAACCTGGAAAAGGAAATCTGATTTCCTGTTTAATGGACGTCAACTTATTTACTGCCCAAAGTGTGGAATAATCACGTTCCCGCAGTGCATGTAAACGCATTGTTTGTGTGCATCCAGTTTGGATATCTGCTAGATTGCATTATGGCACGCACAACCAAAGAGAAAACCTTTGCCTGAAGATTGGAATGGCATCTAACCGGTTATTGCATATTTATTATTGTTAACTTGAACGCGCAATGAGAACGTGTCGATAACCTAGCGTTACTATGCCTAGGCAAGGCAAAATGTGACACTGCCACGGTGGACTAGTATGTGTATTACACACTTTGGCATGATACTGGGTAGCAGTATACCGGTAGCAAGTGATAGTGTTGCGGAGTATCTGATCCGACATGGTTAACTATAGGAGTGTTTCATTTAATAGGAGACTTGTCCGTTTCACAGCATTTTTTAGATGCCAATAAAAACACATGCAATTGTTAAAAAACCACACAAATTGTATATTGTACAAATGTATGATTTCAACTACTACAAACATATCAGGGTGCACTTGCATAGCTGAAACTTAGCAATGTTACCTTTGTGTTACAAAACATCCACCCCACTTCCTTAACAACATAGACTGTTTTGAGATCATAATATACCCCTCTGACATTTTGGGTTTTCAAAGCCCCAGCTCTCTCTCCCTAAAACAAAGGCTCACTTTTGTTCTTAGAGTCAGAGAGACTCTCTCTGTCGGCCTCTGCATAATCAAAAGCAAGAATTTCTCCTCCGTCACTCAAACTCCCACTCTTTACTGTCTGTGCCCGCCAGTGCCTCAAAGGGGGGTCCATCCAAGCCTCCACCCAGTGAAACTTTAATGTGACTGACAGTATAATCGGCAGCCATTTCATCCTTCATTTTCACTGCTTTGTTTCAGCCTCTGTTCCACCCTCCAAAGCAAGAGAGGGAGAGAGGCCCCCTATTCTCTCATCGCCTGCCTGCTTGTTTGAGCTGATAAAAGGTGAATAATGTGCCGACAGAGGCCGGGTATTAATCCCCATTAAAATGCAGCTGGCTCTCTGAGCTCTCCGCGGGGTAATATTAACTTAAAGGCTTCATTCTGTCCTTTTGAGTTTGAAAATTAAGTTTCTGCCTCCAATCTTACATCCCGTCCCCTCCCAGGCCCCGCCACCCAATAAGTGTGGAGCCATGACTGAAATAATGCGGAGATGAGGAGTGATAGCTACGGCTGTCCCTGTGTCAAATGTTTGGAGAGGAGTTTTCAAGTAACAAGACCGTTGTCCCAGCCCCATTCGGCACTCCTGCTACACTCGTAACTGTCTTTTAAGGACCTCGTAAACAGTTGGCTACCTGTGCTGACGATGGCTTTGATAGGTCAGTGGGTGCTTGTTAAATAACGTTGGCATTGCTTTCCTCCCACTGCCAGCTGGTTAGATGAAAAGAGAGAGGAACGCTGTAATTTGACTGTGACTGAAAGCTCAATGCCAATGTGACGAGTGATAAGACTGCCAGCAGTATGCATTTTAAGGTTAGGGTTCCATCGTATTTCATCTAATCTATGAATGCATTATTTAATTTCGCAATCAAATCAGAACCTTTTTGAATCTCTTTTCAAATCTATTTAGTTTTAGTTCCATTTAGTTTTGAACAACTTCACTGAAAATCTCCATTAGTGTAAAAGAAAACAGGATGCAGTGAAGTTAATACTGCATAAAACTAACTTCATCTTGAATATATGTTGTGCTTCAGCTATCAAGGAAACGTTAACTTCACTGAGTCAAGCTACTTGTTATGATTACTAGAGATCCAGAACTGTCCAGTTGATTAGCTCAAAATAATATGAAATACTTGTCCCAATCAGCTAAGGAAGACTATACACTCTCACTGAAGTGTTAAATTGCAATACTGAAACAATACTGAAAGGATAAACAGGGCCCATCAGAGCAGCATCAGTGCACATGAGAAACAATGCATGACTGAAATTTTAAAATCTACTTGCATTCAGTGCATAGCACTTCGATATTTATGGCCATTTAACAACAACTGTTGATTCTTCATCAGCAAAGACAGTTTTGTGTACTGTGACTTAAGCTGTCAATATGAGAGGCCTTTCTTATAGCAGGCAAAAGCACAAGTGGAAGTTAATAATTTACAGTTGCCGCTGCCAACCCCATTTTTGTTTCAAAACACTGGTGTAGCGTTTTAGTGAGGACAGACGAAAACAGAGGTCTTTAAAAAACGATGACACAGACACTCACATTTGGTTCCCTGATTGGGTCTTATCTGTCCTGCAAAGCAAGAACACAACGCTACTGACAGTGTTTATGTTGACCGTGTTTATGTTTGGTATTATTATTAAAATACACACTTAACCACTTGTGCTGTGCATATCACCGTATTTAGGTGTTTTCCGCCGCCAGTCGCTTTGGACTCCCGTGTTACTTTTATAGTTCCCCCTCATTGTCGGTCCATGCAAAAAAATCTCTCCCGTGGTTCTTCATCTGTAGAAGTACTTTCTTATTTTGGCAAATGTTCTGCAACTGCGGAATAGGCAATCGGCTTCATGTTTACACCGGCACGCGCATGCCAAGTGTACATGAATGGCCTCTATATGTGCGTTTTCAGTCGATTTAATATAGACGGAGATCAATTCTGAAACGCAGCTAAACCGCTGGTCTGTTTTAAAACAAAAACGTAGTACTGTGGATGTAGCCTTACTGGCAAATCAACATGAAATAAAGCCATTGTTTGTTATACCTGACATTAAGCCATTTATATTGTTCAAGCCACAATCTTGGATAGCTGTGGTAAAAATAAATCTTTGATCTGCATGTTTTAACATCAACTGCACTGTAAGCCATGTGTTTAATATTACCTGGACAGTGCTGGGGGGGTTTCTTTGAAGACAGTGCTTTTCTGTCACATATTGTGTATTACATATTCCAGCCACTCCAGTACAATAGAAGGACAACAAGACAAAGAGGCTCTGCATTGGTGATTATTGATTTGTTCTCAGCTCTTCACAACAACAAGGACAAACAGTGTGTGTCTATATAATGGAGTTTGGATTGGGCAACTCTCGATCATCATCCCCTCATCTTATACCCCACTCAGAGAGATATGCAATACACACGTTAATCCTCGTTGATCCAAACAGGGGATAGGAGATCGGAGCGGTGGAAACAAAAGGGAGGGGTGCGAGCAGAAATCTTATGTCACAGAGAGGAGTAGATGGCTGAAGAAACACTAAAGGCAGAGTGGTTAAAGACTATTTCACTTCAGACAAAATCTGCAATGCTGTGGTGACACATATGAAGACGTAGCAACCGGGCGACAGCTAATGCTTTCTCCTCAGCGCCATAAACAACTTCACTGTATGGGCTTCCTCCAACTCATTCGGCAGAACACACAGTTGATGATGCTGGCTTCAATTCAATAAGCTTCTCCTCCAAATTTAGCATTTACAGCCCCCTGATCTTTTTAGTATAACTGACTGCACACACTAAGTGCGTCAAGCTGCTCTTCCTTCTGAAGCTCCATTTTAGCACAGCCAGGTGACAAAAGAAATCCATGTTTTTGTATATGGTGAGAAAGTGAGATATCAAAAGTTTCTCACCCACTCAGTACAAGCAAAAGATTTTTCAATGTGTGGCCCACAGCGTATAACACACCGTTTAGTGTGAGGACCACTGTGTTAGCCAGAAAGGTTGTTTTTTTTTGTGAGTGGTAAAGGCCCAGTGTTGTGCATGCTGTGCATAAGAGGAATGAGGCAGGGTTCAACTGAGAGGTGCTACTTCTACTTTATTCCCACGCACAACGGACAACCAGTAAGTACGCTGCACCTATGCGCTAGTGTGTGTTCTGTGCGTGTGTTAAGGCTTGTGCAGACTACACGACTTTCAGTGTCGGCCGATAGCCGTGCTGTTCACACTACACAACTTGCCGTCTTGTGACGTCAGTCTTGAAGTCGTTGTGGCATTTACACTACGTTACTGATCGGTGACAGGAGGTCATACACTACACGAGCTGACAGCGGCTGCGTCACCCGATGCTGGTCTCCAAACCATGTTTTGTCAAGGAAACACACATGAAATGTGAAACGGCAAATGACGCAAACCTACACATGAAACAGCTGTTGTTTGTTATTATAAAAGATACCAATAGTAAAGACAAAGTATATGGGTGAAATAATGGATTATCATTTGCAGGTAGCAGGGATTCTATGAGCTACAGAGAGAGCTGGAGGTGAGTAAAAAAGTGTTTTGCGGTGAAAAAGTCGCTGCCTATTCCGCCAGCTGCCTGCTCTCATTGGCTGGATGTGGATGTCGAGTCGGCCGACTCCTCCAGATAATTGGCATGCTAGATATCTGGCAGACGTCGGCGATGTGTCGGGGGGCCGTTTTGACGCGTCGTTGTGTAGTTCACACATAACGACTGCCGACCAACGACCAACAACCGATTTACTTCCGATCACAGCCCGACGCTCGCCGAGCAGCAAATCGGGCTAAAAATTGTGTAGTGTGAACTAGGCTTTAAGTGTGTAGCATGAGTAGGATTTCATGGTGTGTGCTGAACAGTTTAAAGCACTTGCTCCTTCACTTAACGTGCCTTACCAAAGGCTAAAACAGGTATGATAATAAATAAAATAATAATTTTTAAACGCATTAGGGGCTCACCTTGTGCCAGCCTCTCCAGCCTTTTGCCGTGCTCAGGTGGGACGGAATACCTGCGGACAGAGGGGAATCAAGGTGATTAGTTTAGTGAAAGGTTGACCTATTAAAAACATTTACAAGAAATCTTTCAAACCGACTGCAATAATCATTCTGAACAACAAAATGAAGACATTGTACAGCTGCCCTTTTTATTTTACAAGTGTGTGTTTTAAATGTATGTTTTAAATTAGCCTTTTCAAAAGAGAATTTCTGTCACTGTTTTGGGACAGACAATAAAGTTATCTATCTATCTGTCTATCACAGTCTTATTACAGGACAGACAGATTTATGTCATCCGTCTAGTTCCATTTTCTAATTCTTCCTCTTCCACTCTAATATTCTTGTCAAGTAAAATACATAACTCCACTGAATATTTGGCTATTATGCTATTATTATTCTCTAACAAATTTTCCAGGAACTTCTCAAATATGTATAACATATTCTCTCAGACATTATCATTTTCAGAAATAACAAGATTTTTACATCTTTGACCTATGAATCCCCTTAGGTTCTTTCTGCTCCTCATCTGACGATCTCCAAGGAAGCTCAAAGTTTTATCTTGTCGAATCTACAACTTTAAGAGCTTTTTTGATCACAGGACTTTGCAAGTAACACAGACACTAAAAACTGAAACTGTAGGCCTATCAGATTGTGACTGGGCTGCCTTCTTGGCACTCAAGATTTAATGAAACCACTATTTTTTAAAACAACTTCTAATGGTAGTGAATAAAGTAGAAGCCATACCAAGCAATTGTTAAAGTGTAGATATGTTCAAACCGAACACAAATTTTTGAGGCAGCATAATAATATATCAAGTCAATGCAAAGATGTGGATAGACAACATTTCATGCTAGGCATTCGAATTGAGGCAAAGACAAAACACAAAAATATGCATGTTATGACAATACATAATCACTGTCAGAAACCTACATAAAACAATACAGAGGACAACAGCAAGACAGTTCAGAAACAGAAGATTTGAAGTTTCTCTATGGATCGTCACACTGACTGTTGGTGGGGGGGTGGCATTTACTGATTTACTCAATCAGTAAATGCAGCCCTACATAACAGCACTGTCTAGAAGTTAAAATTTGAAGGGGGGAAAGTGGAGGGTGGTGGAAAAGATTAAATGACCGGTGAAGGGCAGGACAACGAGAAATTACTGTTTTGGGAGTGCTGGGTTATTTCACTGCCCTCAGCACTCACAAATTACCCATGACGTACACCTCAGCACCCCTCCCTCCTCTTTCTTTTTACACATGCACACGTCATGCAAACCAATCATTCTTTTCAAAGTTTGGCGGACGCCGGCTTTAAGTTTGATACAGTCTTGCTTTGATCCGTTACGATACACTACTCTAGTTTGTCTTTGTCCATTACTGCCTTGTTTTTAAGCAGAGGCATCTGTGCAAATTAGCCTTTAAGACCCCTTTTTTTGGGTTTTATCATATTTTAGTAGTTTTCTTCTGTTTTATTACTGTACAAATAGAGAAGCACTGTGGCACCGGTTCAGTGCTGCTCCAACACACACCACGTAGTGGAGGATACAAACATTACCAAGGAAGTGTTTATACTGTTAATATATGAGGCAGGTACTGGAAAGTATATATCATTACACCAAATGTCAGATGCTACATTTAGAAAGCGAGTTTATTTGTAAAACAGAGTAGGAGGGAGCCAGCAAAGCTCAAATATGATCCGTTCATTTGTGAGGTTATTACACGGCTCTTTATTACTGCAATTATTTCCTCTGGATTGCTTAACCCTCCAGAGACCTTGGGCAATGAACTACGGGGGGGGGGGGGGGGGGTCTACATCTCTGACTCACAGCAACTGCATGGATGTTTGACACAAAAGGAGAGAAGAGAGAAGTGAAAATGAAAAAGAAAGAACAAAGATGGAGAGATGGTGGGAAGCTACAACACTTGAGCAAGAGCATAAGGCAGAGGGAGAAGGGGAGATAAAAATAAGAAACACAAAGAAAGTAAAAGGCAAAGTCAATTTCAATCAGAGGTGCCGAGACATGGTGCCACACTGCCACCCATAGATGGAAGCTTAGCACTACAGGAGAGGTGCAGCCTCCTCCAGTGTTTATTTTTCAAGCCTAGAAATAGAGAAGTATCCCACATCAGTGTCTTGTGATCAAAGTCATTCATGCTATCTGGGAGCGAGCAGGTAACATCTGACAAAGAACGTATGTTCAGGTTATTATCTTTCAGATGTAATTGGCCTATTTTAGTGAGTAAAAATGGTGCTGGTTTTAGGACCGTAATCATTCTCTACATGTCTACATATTTTTTTTATTTGTGCGTTTTGCTCTTAACAGGGTCATTCATGATTAGTAACACAATAGTAATGAACCTGGTCATCAGATCTGTCTATAGAGCAACAATAAGACAGGTCTTAACTTTGGACCGTTGAGGTTTCACTTCAGTGTTTACCTGAAACCTTTGCATCAACTGAAACCTAGCTTTGGGTTCTGGTCTTTCATTACACCACAGAGCAACGGGCATTCTTGTGAGTGCCAATAAGAGAAGATATGGCACTCTTTCCATACATACCACAGAGCCTTACTTTTTGATACCTGTTCCATGGGAACTTATCAGTGGCCACCAACTAGATCACACAAACTGCATCAATGTTTTTCTACGGTTACATAAAACTTTTAACTGAAAAAGCTTTTCTCAAAAATGGTCACAATGCATTAGTGACACATACTGTGCATTATGAACACTTTTGTGCATTATTAGCACGTACCACTTTACTAGCTATACTGTGGCTTGAAACACATTTTACAACATGTTTAGTCTAACACCAGAGGGACAAAACAAGGTGGGTGTTGGGTAATGTGTGTTGCAGTGTTTATGCTTAGCTAGGCTAAACACATCAGGGATATTCCTCTGTTCTGAAGATGAAATTAATATTGATCTTCTCTTCTAACTCTCAGGAAGACAGCAAATAAGTGTGTTCCCTAAAATTTTAAAATATTCCTTTAAAAAAGGTGTTTTTGTCCTTGGTGGAGAATCACACTGCAGAGCTTTTTGCGTAAATGTACAAAACATCAGAGCAGCCCGCACCAGAGAACATCCCTCAGATGATTCCTTCCATCCCATCATCAAACAGAACAAATCAGCCGATCAGCGTGTCTCCTCCTGTTCCCTCCCTCCTAAGGCCACGGTTGCCATGGCAGCAACACGTCTGTCACTCCGGCGGCAGCGGGAGAAACACACAAATAAAACAACACACGGCAAATGAAGGCTTGAACTTTTCCCACCTCTCTGAGGAAGAGTATGACTTATCTATGGTGAGAGACGGTGTTCCTGCCGGGTGGAATTAGGCTGTAATGACAATTTTAGAAGCGGCACAGCATGTGTTAGTGTTTTACATCACTACAGACATGCTACATATGTGCATTGCTTTAATTTTGTGATTTGTAGTTAATGGCCACGTGTATGATGAGGACCACTAAGTATTGCTGCTCTAAAATTCTCTTGTTTAACACGTGATTTATAAGAACGACTACATCTAGTCGGTCACAGCTGTCTTTATAAATAGTGCAATTTAAGTACTGAGTGCACGTCTGCCAGATCACACATGTAAGGTCAGTGTTTCCCATTAATAACGACACTATGGCAGCCCGCAACAGTCTTTTTTGTTCCGCCATAGTTTTAAAATGAACCAAAAAATATTTATAAACATTAAAGTGTTCTAACGTTGTGTTTTGCGCCACTGCTCCCCACTGCTGTAAACTCGTGAGCTCACACACTTTGGCATCCGACTCAAGACAACCACTTTTCTTTTGAGGTAATTATGGTAACGTTAACTAAGGGTTTGAACAGCTTTAGGTGTATCCACTGTCACTCATTTGTGAGAACTCGATCAAGCTAGCCACTTTTGAATGCACACGTATTAGAGCCTTTATGGTAAATGCAGTTAAAAGGACCAGAGAAAGCGGACAGGCAGGTTAGTGACTTTATTCTGTCATTTTCTCACTTTGTAACAAGTGTTGCAGTATGTGAGTAGAGAGGCTATGAAGTCTTAATTGTACACAATACAAGCACAGTATACAATATAACTTATCAAAATGTGTCGGACTTGGTGAATGTAGCACGAGGATGGAGGATACACGTGACAAAGTCCGGATTTCAAAACCTGTTACCACAACGTATACAGTATGGAAATAAAATTAATTGGATTATTTACCAAATTAAATATGGGGAAACACTGAAGGTCAGACACCTCGCTACAATTCTCTACTGTCACAGAAGATAAACTTCTTTTTAAAACTAGCAGAAAGTTTAGTCTAATAATGAACATCATTTATTCCATTAACCTCAAAAATAAAAACTCCCGTTATTCCAACTTAAGACTGTTCACACGGGATTCCAAGGCGGTTAGTTGCTTTTGCTGTGTAATTTGGAGTGGTTCGTTAACAAGTGAAACAAAATACAAAAACAGTGCAATGCTCCTTTTAAATTTACTAAATTTACAGTATTACGATTGATATTTGCTTTGATTTAAAGCATAGCTACCACACTGCGGTAGTTCTTTTCACAGTGTTAGATTTTGTTGACATTACAGATATTTAAGAATCCAAATTCCAACTAGGACACCGACTGCATTTGTGCCCTAAGAAACATTGGACAAACACACTTTACATCTGTTTCTATACTATTGCTACATGTGTGCCTGCATATATGGTTAATCTACATGTTGCACACACAGGCATGTGAAGCACAGGGTACATTTTGATCAGAAGAACCCGCCTTACAGCTCAGACCCTCTATTTAAAAATAAAAGCAACCACTATGGGACCTGTGAAGGATTTACTGCAAACACTAAGTCAAAGCCCCGAACACCAACATCCAAACTGTAGGTACAACCAAACTAATGCTATATGCAGCGCTCTACTTCTCTCCTCTGAGACAAAAAAAACTGTCAAACGAGAATGGTTCAAAACCTTTGCACTACAGAGGAGGTTGAGGACAGTGAGGGATTCATAATAAACTCCACC